TGCCTCATTTTGGATACTTTCAAACGTGTATTTATCTGATCTTCTCTGACGCATTTTAAACAGCCTTGACCCTCTGTTGGAGAGCAAAGATAATTCCTCCAGCATGATGTCCTTTGGGGTGCTAAGTTTCTTCCCGAGATCTATTGTGTCACCTATAAAAATAAACAAGAACAAACAAACAAGAACAACATGTGAAGATGCTTGTTCGTCTGTTTGTGTGTTATAATAATAGTAATCACAATAATAAAATGTGATAAAAAATAATGTAATGTAAAATAATCACATGTGAAAATGCTGGTTTGTCTGTTAATAATCACAATAATCAAATGTAATAAAAATAATGTTACATAAAAAAATCACATGGAGCAGGTTTTTAATAACATTACATATTCTTTTAGCTCTAGTTGTCGTCACAGTTATTTTTCACCGATGCCTTTGTAGGGTTTGGCTCTTAGTATAAATAGATGTGATGAATATAACACTGTATGCCATTTCATGCTTCAATTGAATATTCTTTGGGATCATCTATAGGTTAAAAATATATGTATTTTCTTTGGGGAATGCGGTTGACATTCTGGGTCTAATCGCCATTATAGATCGCCAGATTGTACAAAAAACCCAAAACACTTACAATAAAGTTCAATTCTAGAACTGTTGTTTTATAATTATAGAGTTTATTAAGAAATGATTCATGTATTTTCGCTTAAAGGTGCATTATGTAACTTTTCTGGTGGAGAGTCCATCAAATGCTATTGTTATTGCTTTGTCTGGAATGTTTCACAGTATGGCATTAAACCTTTCTATCTCCATGGAGACCACACCAGACCAAGTAACAGGTCAGATCAGTGTTTTTCTAGGTATTTATGAGCAGTAAGACTACCTACAGTTAAATAATTGTAAGATAGATCTGTTTAATGTCATATTGTGGAACATTCTAAGAAGAGCAATGACATCTCCATAGAAACCAGAAGGTGACAGACCCCCAGCCAAAAAGTTGCACAGTGCACTTTTAAGTAAGTATAATAATTTAAGTCTATATCCATAACATTTTCATTAATTATAGTAATATTTTAAATTATTTTGGCCAAAATGTCAATATTCTCCCATGACTCATCGCCATCAAGCATCAAGCAAACCAAATAGCCATAATTACATCAAAATTTGTTTCTTTGTGATAAATGTCAAACTTCAGGTGACCTCCAAAATTGAAACGTGTTAATTCGGTCAGATTTTTGGCTGGACACAACGCTTCCTCATCTACTGTATACTAACTACAAACAAAATGTACCCCAGCTGTCCCAGGCCTTCACCTTATCCAAACAGTTGGCTTTGTGGCACCTCCCACCCCTCTCTCACCCTCCGACCCACCCTGAAATAGACTTTGGAACAGAGCAGGCACAAAGGATTAACCAGCAGAGGTAGTAAATCATCCCATTAGCTTATTTACGGAGCTGGAGTGAAGCCATGACATTTTGAACCCACGAGAATGGATGTTGTGTGGGTCCTACCGTTGGTACCATGGACCTCTCTGCAAATGGCTGCTGCTCGCTTCTTCCTCTCGCTGTCCGACATGGTGCAGAATTGTGACATTTTATCTGAGAAAAAAACAAAAACAAAACAATACAATGGGTTGAGTTTATGAGTTTCTGATTAAGTCTGACAAGATATAAAACGTCTATGTAAGAATGCACATAGTAAAAGACATGTTCTGTTTAATTAATGACAAATTATAAAACAAGGTTGAAAATAGAAAATGTATTTATGGTTTAAAACTGTAAACTAGTCTGAGATGCTGTCATATCTAACCTGTGTAAGATAGTGTACAGAGCCTATTACATAATACATTGCCATTTCATTCAAACCATGTAAACTCTTAGCAGTTGTTTAACATGGAAATAATAATTTGCACAAAATACCACTGTAAAGGATCATTAATTGTTATACAGTGAAGAAGACTACAGAAAGTATTATCAAAATGTTATGGGATATTTTTATTTTTAACTTGCTATAATAGAATCAGTAAAAGTGAGAGTGACTGAGAGTGATTTCATGGATATTTTAAGATAAATTAATGTAAGTAAGTGATACCCAAACGTGGTATGATGATGCTGGCGTCACTTTACCCCGTAGCTCTGTACCTTCCAAAGTCACTCATATGAGAAGGTGTGTCCTTACCTGTGCAGATGCCCAGACGCTACCTATCTCCAGGTGGGGTAGTGTATGCAGGTTCAGGGGTCAAACGCTCCTCTGATCTTCACTGATCTTCACACTCCTGCAGACTAAAGCCAAACTCTGTGACAGTCTTTCTCTCTGTCTGTTGTGAATGGAATGCAGCTTACATCAATAGGCTAAATTTAACCTGCCAAACACTCAAAAGCACTCTCAAACGCCACGACAGAGGAGACGACCACAGAGGCTGAGAGGGGAGGCGAGGATGGCGACGTGTTGGAAATGGTCGTGGATGTCTTCGGGATAAGGATCACCCCTTCAGAGATGCGGCGCATAAACAGAATATTCACAAAATATCTTGGGTTTGTGTGACCTCAGAGACACAGCTGCAGAGTGTGAAGTGTGGACCTATTGTGATAAAACATACACACTCCAGGGACAAGCTCTCATAAGAAATGTGTGGCTCCAACCCAGAAATCAAACGTCACCAAACATTTTTATGAAGCCTTCCTAATGCCACTGGCCTGACAGCTTAATCTCAAACTGTATTCATTTCAACCATAAGCTGAAGGCACAGAAAAAGATATTAATACGATTTCTGATCTGTGGTGTTATCTTACAATGAAACATGATTTTATAGTTTTTCGTACTTTTTATTTTGTAATGCCGTTTCAATGGTCCAAACAGTGTATTTCTAAACTAAACAACCAGGTAACACATGAGTGTCTGACACCACCACAGTGAAATGGTGAAATAAGAAAAACTTTCACATAACTGTGATAAGTAAACATTCTCAGCTTAGAGTAGAACAGCCTCATTCAAATACAAACATAATTCTCCACAAAATCAAAATGATTTATGTAAAAATATGACTATATTTGTATTTCAGCACAATAACATCACAGCCCATTAAAAACATAATTGAAAGTGCATACTGTTGTTGTGTCCTTGGGCAAGACACTTCACCCACCTGTGATTATGGACTGAGAATAAATAAGCTGGAGAGCAAATGGCTTAACCAGCACTAAGGGTGCAGAGTGACTGTCTGATGACAACAGTGACGCCCTTAAGACTCGAGTGAACATGTTTGTCTAAAGTCTTGAGTCCACAGAAACGTGTTTAGTTTTTCATGTGCAATACAAATGTAAGTTGTTTTTTTTTAAATTATTATTATTATCATGATAATCATGACAAAAGCCTATGACTTGTGCAGACACTTGGAGAACATGCACACACCACACAGAAAGACTACATGTGAGTGGGAATTGAACCATCGGGCAGGGGGCTTAAGATGAGGCTCTGTGTTGTTGAATTATGGGCCCAGCATTAAAATATAGGCTATTAATAGTTGGCTATAGGCTTTTGTCAGTCTGACTCTTAATAATAGTATGGATTTCTTATTGGGCCATAGGAGGCAGAATATGGATAGATGTTTGGTCTTATGACATTAGCAGAAGCCCTAGGAGGCTGCGCTGGTCTGGGGTGTCCAAAAAAAGCCCTTCTCTCAGGTGTAAATGTCCTGCTGGTGCATGGTGCCTGGAAAGCTGGAGCGACTTGATAATGACCTCTGGTGACAGGTGCAGGATCAAGAGCGACCCTGCGCTTCCATTCTTCCGGGGGCTCTGGCAGAGACCTGCGGTGCCCGGCTGCATTCACACTCGATACAATAGATGACGGGGCGCTCGGAAACATGAACGCCTCATCCACCGAGCCAATGGGGCTCCTGGCCGCAGCCTCCCATGGAGTTGGAAGCTTGAACGGCTTTTCCTGAAGGGACGCCTGTCTCCGGGGTGCGGCAGAAGCGGGTGTTCCCAGGGCGGGAGACAGACCAGGAGAAGACACACCACCCAGCCTGGGCAAACTCACGGAGCGACTTCGACCAAACACCTAAAATCAGACGGCGTTAGTGACCTTTCATGGGGCGCGTTGTGTTTTTAAAGCTCTGGTGCGCTGCTGGATCTTAACAGTAGGTGACAGTGAAGTGTAACTCACCTGTAAGCCTACACCAGAGTATGAATCAAAAAGGGAAGGCAGTGATTCATATGATTCTGTTTGAAGCAAATGTCAATGGGCTATAGGTCTAGGTTTTTTGTTTGTTTGTTTGTTTTCAATTTATCCAATTTATCCTGGGTTAAATTGAGTCACCAGATTAAACCTTTGACCAACATTAATTCAACGTGTATTATGTTTCGACTTTCAGGATATTACAATTACAATATTGCAACATTCAATATAAAATGTAAGCCTATTATTTGTGCTAACAGCCTATGGACCCTAGAGCATCCAAAAAGAAAAAAAAAATCAATTAACTTTATAAAACTAGTTATATAACTAGCCTATATTTGTATTTTGCATTCTCCCCAATTGTCCTGGGCGAGCTAAGCATGTTGTTATTGGGATTTCCTGTTTAAATAGGATATGACTTTTCCTCAGGTAGCACCTCTGCGCCAAGAAATGCCATGAAAATAACCACCCAGGTATGTTGTAATTTTACCTAATGCTTCAAGTTACTCTCATGTAAGTTCAGCCAACATACTTCAGCTAAACATAGAAATGTTTCAGAGTTTGTTGGTTTTTCCTTTTGGCAGGCACCATCAAACTGCAGAAACAGAAGTTCAGATCTCCCTCTAGTGGTCAACTCATAGCACTTTTAGATTTAGCTGTATAAAGTAATCAATTAGTGAAGCTCTTTATACTACTCAGTTGTAGCTTTAGGTGCATAGCCGACTACATAAAAATATACCATAGTGCTTGTGTGCATGCAGCGCTTCATTCAAAAGAGTGAAAAGCAAAAGGAGTGACATCAAATAAGAAAAAGAAAAAGACAGAAAGAGAAATTTAATGGTGCTTTAATAGTGCTGGGAACAAGACCAAGTGCAACAGAGACGCTTGAAAAAGAAAAATACACATTCCTTGATTGAGATGATTCTTTTTTAACTTGCTTTTGAGTAACTCCCCACTAAATCTTTTTCAACAATACAGGCAGAAAGTGGCTGAAATGACCTGAACTGACACTAGTTATCAGTTCATCACATTTTTAATCACAACTGGCTTTGATTTCCTTTGCGCTGTTGTGATACTTTAAGATTGGAATGAGACGGAAGCAAATGCTACTTGTATGCATTTGAAAAGAAGTGCATTTACAGTTGCTAAATTAATACAGTGTTATATGTGAGAACAACAAAACATTACAAACACTTTTTGATCAGGGGGAAAGAGAAGCGGGTTCTATGCTAATATGAATGTTGTATGCAGCTGTATTCCAACAACAAAACAATAAACAACGGCGTAAAGGGAGCAGGCATTATTGCACATTTGTTTCCTGAGCGTCATAAACTAAAATAAATCCTAAATCTTTTAAACTTTTACAGCACTAAATCACCATTCTGGATTCGTCCAGTTAAAACACTATCCTGTGTGTTTCAAAAAATGTCTCACTATATTTACAGAATACAATAAATTACTGTGTGAAGTTGGCAGTGGTGGAATATAACAAAGTAAAAGTAGTAAAGTAAAAAGGCACCTGTACTTTATTTAAGTAGAATTTAAGGTGGGTACTTTTTACTTTTACTTCACTACATTTGAACGCAGGTATCTGTCCTTTTTACTCCACTACATTTTTTAACAGAACTAAAAAGTAAACATATTTTTTATGATTGTTTAAGACCTGCTGAAATTAGGGGGTTATTTTGATCAAGTTCATAATTTGAGCAAACAAAAAAAAAAAAAAAAAATACAAATAAAACAGCTAACCTAGAAAAATTGATTGATTCAGTTGTTTCTGTTGAACAAATCTTTATCAAAATCATCTGAAGCTTTTTTAGATCTCAAAATCTGCATGAAATACTTACTTTTTACTTTTTATATACATTTTTAAAGTGGTTCTTTGATGCTTTTAGTTTAAGTCGATTTTTTCATGTGATACTTTTACTTTTACTTGAATACTTCTTTTGTTTCAGTACCTGTACTTTTATTTAAGTAACAAAACGTAGTAGTTTTTCCACCACTGCAAGCTAGATACTAACCAGTGCTATATGTTATAATTAAAAGTGAATGGTTGCAACTCTAACCCCTCATCCTATTCCTGACTGAATCCAAACATGACCATATACAGACCCCGGCTTAGTGCAGCATAGCAACAGGCTTCCACTGTTTGCCTTCTGCTACCTGCTTCTTAGCCGAAAACTTTGGCCGAGGAGCCATTTGACGCACGCCTCTAGCAATGAGAGACGCAGGGGAGAAAGCCGCTGCTAAACTGTCACTGATAGAGGAGAGAGAGGAGTGCTGAGAGGTTGTGCTGGCTGGGCGGTTACTGGTTTCTTGCTTGGTGCTAACGTGATTCAAAACAGGTGATACAGACAGATTCACATCCATTTGCTTGTCAACTGTGAGAACATCAGGCTTTGTGGTTTCACTCTTAGAGATACTTCGTGGAGAACGTGCAGGCCCTATCTTGTGCTTTATAACTTTTCTTGGCTCAGATTTCGTGGGGGTGGGAGATGGTTTGGGGCTGGGGGCTTTGATCTCAGGGACTTTTTCGTATGTAAAAAGAGCTGAGTCCAATTGATAAGGCTGGTGTTTCATGATATCTAGAGCGTTAAGGTGCTTCGTGGCTTGTTTAGGTTTTGGTTTGGTCTGTTTGGGTTTAATTTTAGGACTCGTTGAGGGGGGTTGTTTCGCTGCTGCCGGGGGATAAAAAGGTGTAAGAAGAGGATTGTAACCTACAGGAGGTGGAGCTCGGATATTAGATGAGTACCTCCATGAATTTGGCAGAGATGAGGTCGGGGATGGGGCCCTGGGTTTGCTAACCTGTTTCGGTTCGGCATCAACCACAAACTTCTCCATTCGAGACTGTCTTTTGGCAAACAACTCCACACCTTTACCGGATAGGGAACTACTTTGGCCTCTGTGAGTCTTCTCTGGCTGCGATGGACAAGATGCAACAGAATTTGGGGCACTCGATTGGGGAGGAGGGGCCTGTGGGCTGTAGGTGGGACCCCTGGCCTGCATACTCACGGGAGATCGGGATTGTTCAAGACTCCAGCTATTTGCAGTTGGCTGGGGCTGAAGCTGAGAAGACATGTTGGTGGATGTTTGAAGTCTTGCCGGTGTTTGATCCTGTGCCCACTGGTTAGACATCTGTTGAGGTTTGGCCCGGTCATGCGGCTGTAAGTAATTCTGACTATGGGGTCCAATGGCAGCAGGGGATGGCTGGGGATTTCTTGGTGGAATATAGGGATCTTCTTTAACCATCCAAGGTGGGCAGGCTGGGTTGATAGTTGGTTTGGGTGCAACTGGAGGTGGATTCTTAAGTTTGATGGGTTTAGGTTGCATAAAGTTACACGCTTCAGCTCCCAAACTAAAGCAGTCTTCCTCACATTCGATAAAAGATCTTCGGTCACCCTTGTTTTGAAGATTTGCTTTCTGTTCTGGTGGAGACTGTTTACTTGAGCCTTTTCTTTTTGTTTCAGGTAGGATGCCAGTCTTGATCGCTGGCACTGATATTCTTTCATCTCTTGAGGCTATGACGTCACTAGTTGGGGACCAGACCTTGGGGCTTGTGTTGCTTGGTACGGGTACAGGAACTTTAAATTTAGGCTCAGGCTTCTTCTTCGCAGGAGTAACTGGCACAACCACACTATGTCTGGCAGGTGGAGGTGCATTCGCTTGAAATCCAAGGAATGGCTTCGCAGTTCTGTTGGGCACCAACGGTTTGGAGGCGTTGGAGTCCTCCTGGTAGCTGACAGGCTGCTCTGTGTAGTTATCCTGGGCGCTGTACACATATGTTTCATTAGGCTCATACATTTTTGGAGGTGCTGTGGGTTCTGGTTCTGGTGCTGGACCTTCGACTGGTAATCCTTTACTCCTCAGTTCTTCATGCTCTGACACAATTTCATCCATGCGTTTTCGGCGTTGAGCAAACATCAAAGCACCCTTTCCCTGTGTTTCTGGCAGACCTTCCATCTTGTGCTGACTTCTCCAATTCCAACTATATTGACACTGCTGGTGGTAAACAGAATTCTCTTCCTCTAACTCAGAATCACTTGTTGATACAAAGTGGTACTCAGTTAAATCTTCAGTTTCTTCTGTTTGGTCTTCACTGTCAATGTTCTCACCGGTTCCGTAGCTTATGAAGGTAAAGTTCTCAACCCTTTGCTGACGTTTCTTGAACAACAAGACTCCTTTATTGCGAGGGTTGGGTGCATGAGTTAGAAGAAGAGCGAATGCTTTTGCATTTGGACTTGGTCTCCTTGACATGTCTCTCTGATTGGCTGAGCCCTGAGAAGAGACAATAAAAGACAAGAAGCAGAACGGAAGTAAGGAGTGATGAATTAGAGCTGTAGTATTTTTAAATGATTTATGATTGTGCACGCATCAGAGGGTCATTTGACCTGAGATTTTTTTTATAATCTCCGGACTACGAACTAGAAAAACATTGTTCCTGGCCTTGTAAGTGCACTAATAAAAGCATCATATTTGCTTACAGCTAACTTCGGTGAGCCCAAGAGGCCAGGAAAGTGAGGAGCTCACCATGGGACTGTTACGATTGGAAAAGGGATCAAGTGACAGGCCAGGGGACACATGCTGGTGTCTGTCAAAGAGTTTCTGCCACCCTCATCATATGGTCATATTTTATTCTTATCCTGCTCTGACTATTACAGCAATGGGAATTCTCCCTGCAAGTCCACCTTAAATAGAACATGTATTACAGCATAAAAATAACCTGCAACCATAGAGCTTGTTTGTTTTTGTTTTGTTTTTTACATTTTTACATATTCAAATTACAATGCATGCAACACTGGGTTAAAATATAATGCAATCCAATGTTATTAATCACTTCAATATCAATAAAACATAACAGTAAACATTTAGTGCACACTTTTCCCCACTCCTGACTTCATATATGCAATATCATATAACATAGATTAAGACAGGTACTCACGTGTGTGCCTTGTCCTGTGCCGGGTCGGTCTGCACAGATTTGTGTCAGACCCCGAATCCCACCTCTGTGCCTGCTCAGCACCCTCTTCTGAGATTCCAAAGGAGACGCAGGCAGTAGGTGCGTCACTGCTCCCTCCTCCTTCTGATGAATGCACCCTTGGGCTCTCCGTCCCGGCGCTTTGGCTATTACCAGCTGGTCCCCGTGGTTCCTCTTCCCCTGGGTGAAGGGTCAAGGCCAGGACCATGTCACGGGTAGGACCTTGAGACGTGCAGGGGGAAAGAGACTGTCAGACTGTCATTGTTAGGCCTGTCAAGATAATTACTATCGACTTCAATATATCAAAGCTGGAACAATATTTTTTGTGGGGTCAGTATTTAGTGTGTGTACACTTTCTTTGCCCTACTGGAACATTTGTAGTTATTTTTTGGCTATATGATAAGAACTAAGCCACAGAAGGCTGAATTAATAACTTCTATGACTTATTAAAGATGCAAATTAAGTACCAGTGTTTCATTCTGCTACTTTTAAATAATATTGTACATTTACGTACATTTGTTTTTGTGGTTTAAATCTGGTCTTGGGTTTTTGTGTCAGTGACAAATGCATTTCAATATTATTGTTTATCATCTATATTTACTTCAGCAATGTATCATATTTCAAAATTTGTTATTGTGACAGACCAAGTCATTGTGGTAAATTACAAAACTGTATGATTTTTGCATATGTAACTCACTTGATTCACTCTTGTCAACTTCACGCTCCCTATAGAAAACATTCTCTTCTCTTTCACTTAAGTGTTCCTCAGACTCCATTTCCCAGCATTCTTTGGGTTCACTGTCAGGCTTGGGGACGTGAGAGGATGATGAGTTCATTGGGAGGTTTTCAGTATCTTCTTCACTATTACAAGATTCTGGCTTCATATCTGAGACGCGGCAGCTGTCCTCCTGGGAGCTTTCTGACCCAGACCATGCCTCTGTTTTCTCAGTGTCACTTTGGTCTTCAGAGTCTGGATCCATTTGGAGTTTTACAAAAAGTTGCTCTCTGAGACCTGAAGAGTTTGACAATATAAACTATTAACATACATTTATACATTTAAAGCTGCACCATGTAACTTTTCTGAGAGTATACCATCTGCCCGTCAGTGGAGATGTTGTTTTGACTGAAATGTTTCACTCTATAGTATGAAACTATCGATCTCTGGAGACAAGCTGATACCACCAGGCCACGTTACAGGTCAGATCTGTGGACCGGTGACCCTGCTCACTGTACAAATATATGTTTTTTAAGGTATTTTAGAGAAATATAACCACCTGGAATTCAATAAATCACTAATAAAAACTCACCTGTCAAATCTGGTATTTCCCCCATGATTTCCACCATTCTTTTCTTTTGTTTTTTATTGATACTTTCCCTGGGGTTGTGATGCTAACTGTAAGCACTGCTCTGTCTGAGGCTTGTTAAATTTGAATATAATCTGACTAGAAAGAGCTGGTTTAGTTGGAGCTACAACAGGTGAACTCATTTGTGCACTTACAACTACAAGTCTCACTCATAAAATTACTTATTAGCCAACAGTTTTTCCGCTAGTCACTCTCACCGTTTTGTTAAAAATCAAACACCTAAACAGGACCATGAATGAACTGATCACAGGTGTAGTATCTAAGTGGATCTATTTATTTAAGCTGAATCACTTCCCGAGTTATTGGTTTTACCTGTAGGCTATCTGCCTGCATACTGATATTTTATGTTGCAGTGATGCATGCAAGTAAAAAATTAGGATTCACAAATTGATCTTGCTTCGAGATCAATCATGATTTACATTTATATGATGTAGTAAAGACACAACAACAGGTTCCAGCAAACATGCTGTTTAAATTATTACTATTATTATTATTATTATTATTATTATTATTATTATTATTATTATTATTTCTTGAGTTTCCACACTATCTTCAAAGTTTTTTTTTTTGGCTGTGTTTGCTAATCATGCATCGTGTCACCATGGTAACCACAGACAAATTCCACCATAGAAATAGGCCTATATGTAGAACACCCCCCAATCATTTCATATTGTTTCCTATTGTTTATAAAGCAGTGTCCAAAAAAGCACAATATAAGTCTGATGTATTATTATTTTTTATAAAATGAGAAAAAGCTGGACTGTGAAACATTCCTGACAACAATAACAGCTCCATAGAGACAAGAAGAAGGCGGATCCTCCACCAGAAGGCTGCAAAGTACACCTATAATTTGAACTTCATATTCACAGTCAATATGTTTATTGAAGGGACTTTTTCCTCAATAGGAAGAACAGATCGGCTTTGGCATTTCACTCAAGCTGCCAACGCTGTAAATGGAATGGTATGTGATGGGGAAACAACGTTCTCATCCAAGAGCATAAGCAAAACAATCGGTGGCTGTTTTCTGAGGTCATATTTATTCAGCAGACTCTTGTTCCCACTCTTCATGTCACAACCGATTAAAGGGCCCATATTGCACTATTTTCTGGACTATGTTATAATGTTGTTTCCTCATCGCAAACATACCTGGAGTTGGGTTTTGTTTTGTTTCATTAACACACAACCCTGCATATTTTGAATTTTTCTCATGTCATATGGTAATACAGGAAGTGTGAACTGTGAACTCCATATACCTCCTGTAGAATCATATGGATATTTTCAGCCCTGGAATTGTCAATCTCTACTAAACTAAAGGTCAAAGGAGCTGTTAACTTGAAAACTACTGCTTCACGACATCACAAGGTGGAACAGAGCATTTTTATAGCTTTGGAGATGTAAACAGCCCAATAATCCAGAATTACTCAAACTTGTGAATGAAACAAAACACAACTCCAGGTATGTTTTGATGCAGTAACAACATCTAACATGGCTTCACAAGAATTAGTTGTGTGAATAGGGGTTATCTGTATGCCCATTCTTAACTCATTAACATACTTTTTGAAATACCTTTATTAAATTTATTACAAATACAGATTATCTACCTTTAGCATATTTCACTTTTTAAAAATCTTTCTTCATTACTGTAGTAGTCCTTAACTCCTTAATTAATAAATGCGAAAAAGATCTGTAGATGGGTCCCCAGGCACCGGAATGCACTTTCCTAATGTGGTTTGCCCAAGTGCTATGCATATTAAAGAATGAGGCAAATTCATTTTTTCAGGGGAAATAAAACTGCATATACCTCCTGCACTGTTTGTGAAAGCTGTAGAGACCTCAGCACATCTCCCACTAAAACATCAGCCTACCACATGACTCAATAAAATAGATGATTTTTTTTTTTTCCTGGTTTGTGCAAACAGAGAACAAAATGTGTACCATTTGAAACATTTAGGAGTTATTTTCAAACTACAGCTGGTAATCCAGTATGAAAACCAAGGTTGTTGTGAAAGATATATTGCTGAATGTTGCCCATGTTAGCCTAATGCTGCCATTATGCAATGTATCCAGTAGATGTCGCCCCTGAGTAGTTAAGATCACAATTCACATGCTAAACTTTAAATTAACTCTAACCTGTAAATATCTGTATCCGCTCAGATATTAAATAGATATGTTAGATATATGTGTTTTTTTTTAGTATTGTATTTTATTTTAATAATGATGAAATAAACAAGATGGTTATATTTTCATTTGGTGTTATAGTTCTCAAGCTTGTTACCCGATCAAAAACTCATGACCATCACATGAGTCTAACATTTGGGTTGCCAGTTCCCATGACAAACAGAAACCTTAATCTTTGTATACATATTATTATTATGATTATTATGATTATTATGATTATTATTTACAATGTAAATGCTGATTTTGTGCTCCAATCACTTAAATGATCAGGTTCAACATTTGTGAATCTGTAGATGTGAGTTATAATAATATCACACTCTAGAATCTAAAAAACAGCAATACTAAGTACCAAAACCCCAGCATCTGCTGCCAGTCAATAATCAGAGCTGTTAGTTATTGCTGTTCTTTCAGTTCCCTGTTAAATAGTTCTACAGGAAAAGATGGCAGAGCCTCTGCAGCTCACTGTGTGACTGTGTCACATGTGCATTTTGGGAATGAGAAAACCCCTGTGTCCTCAGCTTTAAGGTTAAGGCAATGGCAACCCAGGTTCAGTTATGACTGCAGTTCTTTTTTTATACCTGCAAGAGTTCACAATATGTACCTTTAAATTTTGTTCAAAAAATAACAATATCCTATATATTCCTTGTGTAAAAACAATGAGAATGAGATATTATTCATAGTATTCTTTTCAAGTAAGTACTTTGCCAAAATGGGAATTTTAAAGGTATGCTACAGCCAAGCAAAATATGTATTTCTGTTCTTTTAACAAAACCACTAAACCACTATAAGTTTGGCATATTAGATAACAGTTATGTTTATAGAATAAAAATACCACTCTAGATGAAGTTAGGTAATATGTGTAATACACATTTCAGCATGGCTGGACATCCACAGCTTAGGCCTTGCTTTGCCCACATGTCTTGTGGCTCTTGGTTCCCCTTCATTGTGCACAGTGGTCCCTGTCAGGCCTAACTTTAGTTCTGTTTCCATTTAAGGCTAAAACCTTAATCATTGGCTGTGTTTCTATGGAAACGGAGCTGCTGCCTCTTTGACAGATGAGTGACCTCGAGCTCCTTTGGTCCCCCCTGAAGATGAGGTCCACAGATCTTGCCATGACATCATCAAAATCTAACACAACTGCAATTTTACTGCATAAATATAAGTTAATAAATATACATGTTACTATGTTGCTATGGGCGTTTATAACAATAATTATATAATTCAAATTACACATATTTCTATTATATAATATAAAACTTGTGTAAGTAGGGCTTTTCATAATAATCAAGTACTATACATTTTATATTATTTAGTTTGTTCTAAGTATGGACAAATATTTATGGACATTTTGCATTATTATGGTTAAATGTGTGTTCTCCCTGTGGTTCAAATATAGTGTATTCATTGTGACTAGATACACTTAGACCTTTCTGCACTAGAGAGAGTGAATATAATGATGGATATTTAATGATATTTGGCATGCAGCCTTTTTCTTCTTCATACTGACTGATCTATATAGCACATAAAACCTGTACTTGTTGTTGCATCATAGGTTAAAATATCTATTTGTAATAGCCATAAATGTTGCTTACCTGACTGGAGTTATTTGTCAGTTTTTCATCTCTGAAGTTGTAGTACTGTATTTGTATATGGACAGTGGTTGGCTCGTCTCTGTCATGATGGAGCTCATTTTGTCTGATATTTAAGATGAGAGTGAAGAGGTGTTCGTGATCCAGCCCCCACTGTCACAGCACGCCCTAAAGACAAATGACACAATTCATCCACCATATTCTCAGTAGCAGTTCTGATAATGTGTGGCGGTAGGCCTATCACGATAACACATTTTTAAGTGTTTAATATTGCTGAAGAAAATCTAAACAATAAACAATAATACTGAAACACATTATATCACTAAAACAAAAAACCTAAATAGCAAAAACAATTTTTAAAAAAGTAACAAAATATAGGTAAGGTAAGGAAGGTAATGAAGTAAAAGTAGTAAGATTTTTAGGTATCTGTACTTTTAGATTTTAAAATGGACACTATGCTTCACTGTATCTGAGAACATCTGTACTTTATATGTCACTACATTTTTGAACAGGTACTTTTGGTAGATTTTTTTTTATGTGATACCATTACTTTTACTTGAGTTTTTTTTTTTTTTTTTCTGGTATCTGTACTTTTACTTTTAACAAAAAATTGTTAAATGTACTTCTTCCACCACTGAATCACAGAGCAGTGATTGAGAAAATACAATTGTAGAAGCAATGGGCGTATATTGGTGGTGTTTAAAATGGGAGATAATCTGCAAAATTATCTCTTGAAAATAAGCAATTCAAATTAAAAACATGCACCAAGCACTCTAAATACAGCTTTGAGTGAGTGCATGATGAGTGGAAACAACTACATGGTTAAAAACTTCTAAAAGTCCAAAAGGTTTACTGTAAGGGGTAGAGGTCATTCTCTGTCTATACAATAGAGTAATCTTGAGTTATTTATTTTTTTGTTGTTAAATCATTTACATTTTACTGTTGGTCAGAACTCCAGTTTGCCTTCAGACAATAGAACTCGTTGTCTTCTGTGTCTCCTGGAAAAGCAGCACAATGAAATTTGACAGTATACTTTCTGACATAAATGGATTTGGAAAATTTCAAATACATTTAGTTTTGATCCAGATTCTTTCTCGCATCACTGTACCATGCCATTTTCTGCTGAATAACTTTATGGCTGCAGTTCCTTCTCATCACTGCAACATCAGCGCTCTAGATGACGGAGAGCTCTTCCAGAATCTAACTTTGGAACAACAGCTCAGTGTGGGGGTCCCCTTTGATGCCCATGGGAGTTCTCCAAGCTCCTGCCAGATGTATTCAAAACCTCAGTATCAGTATTTGTCTGGATTCAACAGCAGCAATATTACGCTGGCTGTGGAGTGTCAGAACGGCTGGGTCTATGACAACAGCACTTTTAAATCTACAATAGCCACAGAGGTAAGAAGTATACGCTCAATATACGCATTTGTAATAGAGATCAACTGATAATGTTTTTTTCATGGCCAATGTTGATTCGGACTGTTGAGAATCCAGAGTAACAAGTGGCTAAAAAGTCTGCACATATTTTTGGGCCAACATGTAGGGCCAGTTTCGATTATTTTCCATGCATTATGTAATTTGAATTTACTGTAAACTCATTCACAACCCTATTTTAGCACAAAATGGATAAGAGCAGTGTAGTCACATTCTGTGCAGTACCCTCTTTGTACTCAAGTGTTCAAATAAAGCATTATGCATATTCTTTATGAGCAGCTGGGTGGCTCAAAGCAAATACCGGCCTCTTCTTGAGATTTAAGGCCAATTCACTAAAAAGTGCCACTATAACTTAAGCCCATTTTTTGGGTTAGTTTATTTGACATTCATAGTTAAAAACAAAATGGAAAAGCGTAAAGCTCAAAGTGCACCATGAGATTAAAAAACAACCATACAACCACTGTGAAATAAACAAGGTACAAAGATTAATGAGCCAAAATATTAAAATGCTACATCAAAGTCCAAAGTGCATTGTTCAAGCTTAAAACAGTGTGTGGGAAGAAGCTGTTAGCAACAAAATGTCTTACATTTTTACAATCAAGCAATATCTGAAACAAGAAGCTCAAACATGTCTCTGTCAAGATGGCCAGAGGGGTCACGTGTGAGCTGAAGGGCTCAGTTTAAAAATCAGCATTTCTTTTTGAGCGGACCACCCTATTTAAAACTTTCCTCTATTTGGATGTAATGTTATAGCGTCACCAAACCAAGAGACACCAGTTTGTGAACAAGTCTGACTGGTACAAGAGAATTAAAGACAGCTATCAATGAACATAGAAAGAGTTCAAAGCAAAAGAGGTAGCGTCTTCAATGTTCCTATTCTGTCTGTACACAAACTAAAGCAGTTCCACACACCAGGGTGTGACTTTAATAAAATCCAGCACCAGACATTCAAAAGTTTTTATTAAAACAGATGTGAGTCGCACAGCTTGATGATCATTCAAACATGTCACGGGTGTTTTCTTGGTATCTGGAATAATATCAGTCTATCTCTACTGCAACTGCAACTTTATTTATAATGCACTTTAAAAACAACACAGGTTGACCAAAGTGCTACAGAACATAATTAAAAAGAAAAACAATAAAAACAACATGAATAAAAAGAGAATCTAATAAAAACAAATAAAATGTCAACATTTCAAACTGTGTCAAAAGTCAAAGTGAACAAGAACATTTTAAGAAGAGAGTGCGTTTTAAGAAGACATTGAAAAACAGGTACTGAAGAGGCCTGTCTAATGTGGCAGCTCATTCCACAGTTTAGGTGCAGCCACCACAAAAGCTCTATCCCCTCTGAGCTTCCAGCTGGTCTTTGGCACACTCAGGAGGAGCCAACCTGAGCGACTGTGCAGGAGTGAAGGAGGAGTTCAGAGAGCAACAGCGGGGCAGCATCAATCAAACACTTACAAACAAATAAAAGCATGGATCCTTAAGTACACAAGCAGCCAGTGAAGGGAGGATAAAATGGGGGTGATGTTCTCATATTTTCGAGTGTCAATTAAAAGACGTGCAGCCGCATTTTGGACTAGTTGCAGTCGAGAAATGGAGGACTGACTCACCCCAAAATAAAGTGCGTTACAGTAATCCAGCCGGGTGGTTACAAAGGCGTGGATCACTGGTTCAAAGTGCTGACATGCCAGAAGGTGCTTAACTTTAGCCAGCTGCCTAAGGTGGAAAAAAATCTGGTCCTTTGGCTATCATGTTTACATTCATTTACAGTTTACAAAAAAAAAACTGGGGTTTCCAAAATTAATAGAGACTACTCAAGCAAAACTAGGCCCAAACCCCATGACCTCCATTTTAGACTCATTAAAGTGCAGAAAATTTTGTCTCATCCTTGCTTCTAAATCAGTCAACCACATTTGAAGTGAGTTTGAAACAAAACCATCTCTTTTCTTAAGTGGGATATTGAACCCAGGGGTAATAGATATAAAGAAAAAAGAATAGGGCCTATAACAGATCCCTGTGGTATCCCGTACATCAAAGGAGCATAACCGCACACCACTCTAGTTTGTATAGAATTCAAGAGACACTGGTTTACTTGCAGTGGGACCTGGTGTGCAGCCGAAAGGGGATGAACAAAGCAACAGCCACAATCTTTTTCATTGGGGTGATGTGTGGAGCCCCTCTATTTGGATTTCTGAGTGACAGGTAAGTTCTTGTTGCTACACTTTTACTTTATGTAAAAAATAACATTGTCAAAACACAAGTCGCATACCAACTATTTATCGTATCTTTTCTTTCATGAACAGATTTGGTCGCCGTCGCCTTCTGCTTGTATCCTATATCTGCTCACTGACGTTTGCTATTTTAAGTGCCTTTTCCACATCTTATGTCATGTTTTCAATCATGAGGTTCTTCACCGGGATCTCCCTGGCTGGAATAAGTATAATTTCTATTGTTTTAAGTAAGTTGGACTTATTTTGTAGTATATATTGATATTTTACCGTGACATCATGCTGGGAGTGTACTAAACATTTAGCAGTAGTTACCATGGTGACACAATACAAACATTAGCAAACACAGACAAAAAAAAAGTTTTAAGATCACGTGAAAACTCAAGAAAAAATACAAAATAGATTTAAACAACACATTTTCAGGAGCCTGTGATCAATAGACCTTTTCACAATGACTGGAAGTCCCGCCCGATAAAGTTGTGGAACTTCCGGTTATTGCTTTTCTATGGCAAAATATCTGTGGAAATGTCTTATGTATTCTCCACCAGCTTCATAAATCTGCCCCATCACCAAATCTTCAACCAACAAGGTCCACAAGGTTCTTCCATTATGAATTTATCCACAACTATCAAGGTGAGAAAGATGAAAGCTTAAAGGCAAACAACGACTAGCATTGGTGAACTACTCCTGAGCAAAACTAACGTTACGGTTATGAATAAAACATCAGTAACTTGTTAACTCAGATTGATTCTAGAATTAAAATAAAAAATCAATTTCATGTTTTCGATTTTAGCATAGATGAGGAGATTTGTGCCGTTTGAATGCTAGACATGGAATTTCTGAATATCTGTAGCATTTGAACGGCACAAATCTATCTATGCTAATATCTACACCATGAAATCTTTTTAATTTGAATTTTAGAATCAATCTAAGTTAACAAGTTACCAAGTTACCTATTAATGAATTACTTATTACTTATGTTATTCTTGACCATAAGTTTTGCTCAGGAGTAGTTCACTAATGCTAGTCGTTGTCCGCCTTTAAGCTTTTGTCTTTCTTACCTTGATAGTTGTGGATAAATTCTTCATGGACAGAATATGTCCTTTGTCGATCTTGTTAGTTGAAGATTTAGTGATGGGAAAGGCAGACATATGAAGCTGGTGGAGAATACGCGATACATTTCCACAGACATTTTGCCATAGAAAACCATTAATCAGAAGTTCCGCAACTCATACAGCATTCAGGCCATTGTAAAAAAAAAAAAAAAAATCTATCTATCTAAGTGTTCATGGTTTACACCTATCAAACAATCAAACACCTAAACACGTGTTTGATTTTGAACATAAAGAGAGTGACTAACTGAAAAACTATTGGTTAATGCTAGCTAGCTTGTGACTATAATTTTATGTGCGCGAGACTTGTTAGATAATACAAATCAGCTCATCTGTTGTAGTTCCAACTAAAGCAGCAGATTGTGTTAAAATAAAGCTCAGATTAAGTCTAACTTGAGTAAAAGAGCTTCTAACAGAGTAACTTAGTGCTTTCAGTTAGCTTTACACCCCGCGGGAAAGTTGAAAACATCACCTGCAAAACATCAATCATAGGCTATGTTTATATGATGACGGTCTGAACAGAAGATGCAAAAGTGGTGTCACATCTTTGGGAAGAAATCTGCGTGCATAAGGTGACGCAAAAGTGTGTGGAATTCGATTGGGTATGCATGCCAGGCGGCTAGGTGGTGACGTTAGATGGTGACGCTAGGTGGCGGTGTGACATAAACGCGTACATGACGTGAACAGATCTGACCAGAGTTTTGCGTCTTGGGCAGTGTGGAAACGCTATGGTGGAGCATATTCAACTTTTCCACTCTATAGGGTGGTTTCAGATTTTTGCGTTTTTAAGCCCCAAAAACGCCATCACTGTCTAAATGAAAGGCACTTCCAATAAAAGATTTTGCCGTTTTTACCCGCAAGTGTTCTCGTGTGAACATGCTCGTAGACGGTTTCAAGAAGTGGACTAAGCGAGTGTGATGTCACCCAAAGCACCCAGCTCCATTGAAATGAAGTGCACACTGCTAGTGGTTTCAGGAGCGAATTTGGAACCAGGCTCTGTATTATGAAAAGACATTTTTAACAGACAAAATAGCAAAAAAACAAACAAACAAACAAACAAACAAACAAAAACCCCACCAGGATCATGTAGAGCAGATTAATATGAACATTTTCAAACCAAAATGACAAGGCTCACAGCAGCAGTGACATTGAACTTGAAGCGCCCACATGCTCACTTCCTATTTGTAACATGGCGGATAGTGGGTTAGCTATGTCCATTTATATATACAGTCTATGGCATTAATATGCAAATATTATGGTGTGTAAACTCAGATTTCGTCATGGTGTGTCCTTCTATATTTCAGATGTGGAGTGGTTCAGTATTGAACACAGGACATTCTCTGGTATCATCATAAGCTTGGACTGGACCATTGGAAACTGGCTTCTGGTGTTACTGGCCTACCTGGTCACCGACTGGAGAATGCTCATTTTGGTGGTGACTTCACCTCTTCTGCTGGCTATATTTGCATGGAGGTATTTAGATACATTAACTACAGTCCCGGGTAATATAGTTTATTTGTGATTTACCTAGAAACCATGGGGTACACTGGGCCAAAACTCCTCTAATGTACACAAACATTTTTATCTGACAAACTCTCCTGTAATTTTTTACATCCTGTAATTTTCAACTTATTTTTCAACATTTCTTCACAAATTGCTTCTTCATTGGTGTAAAACTATAATTTCACAACAGGTATTATCCCACCAAATTAAGTCAAAATAAGAGAATCATAAAAACCTGTCACACGCACTTTAACCCTTGTGCCTTGTTGAAACGGTATGTACATGTGTGGGAGTGTTTTGTACAAATGGTCTACTTCTGTTTTTAAACTGCCATAAAATCACCAAGATTAATATTTCTCAAAGATTATTTTTTTTCCTGAAAGGGACATATTGACTCTATACATTACCATTATATAATTAACTTTTTTGGGGACATTTTGTGCCCAATACCACATAGAGGCAAATTTGAATTATAAGTAATAATTCTATAATAAAAAACATATAGCCTATATTTTTTTTTACTCTGGCTGTTATCAGTGTGACTGGCAGTGGATAATTAGTGAGAAGATTGACTGGTGCATTTTTTTGTTTTTGCATAAAGCCAGTTTGTTGTGTTGCGCTCCATACACTCCTATTATAAAATGCCAACTTTTTTCAATCCCCTTAAAAGCCTAAACATGTTTTTGCCTTTTATTTTATGTTTTCCTGTTTAAAACTACATACAATTGTGTAAAATGTAAGAATGTTTTTTACCACATTTTCCATGAGCCTTTAAATCCATATCTCTATTATTGCTGTATTGACATATATTGGGATATACGTGGACCTCCAAAAAATGAAAAGAAATTTGACTTTTCCTAATATCCTCGTGACTGACTGACACACGAACAATCAATGGGAAGTGGTTTACTGTCAGTTTGAACAAAAAGGTTTTGGCCATGCTGATTTCTCCCATAGACGACTATTGTAAATGTGTTGTTTTATTTTGGCTATAATTTATGGATTATTATTTTATTTTTATTTTATTTTTTTTTTCAGCCAGCCCCTAAATTGATGTTTTTGATGAGCAGCCATTTTAACATATTTCCTGTGCCCCATACACCTCTCCCACACCCCCCAAACCAGGTCATTTAAGACTGAACATGCAGCCCACAGTCTAATCTATGCATTTGATCACAAATTTCACCTAGTTTCTTAAATTTCTTGTCACTGTGGTCTAAAATCAATTTTTTTTTTTGTAAATTTCCAAAGTTCAGATTTTTTCCTCATCTTTTTCACAAGGTATGTTTGCTTCCATCTATTACATCACATCAGACTATGCAAATCAATATAATGTGGGTTAAAACATAAAATTTGAAGCCTTCGCTTTAAAATAAATGCTTATCTTCATGATTTATTTATTTTTTATTTTTTTATTTTTTTTATTTCTTAGTTTTTTTCAATTGCTTTGTTTACATATATGCTGTTTTTACTTAAGGACATAGCACTTCAGATTTGAAAAGCCACAGAAACAATTTTTTCACACTCAAAGAAATATTCACTACCGACACATCCAATCCATTTTTTGTGACTTTCTCTTTTTATTTGGTTTTCCAGGCAAATATTTTTAAATATGACTATGTTTTGTGTAGGGTGACAGTGGGGGTCATGGGGGAGGGACTAAAAGTAGGCAAAACATATTTTTTTTATAAAATTAATTTGGTTTACTGCAGACAGAGAGAGAGAGAAAAAAAGTCTAAATTATTTTCACCTTAATGCATTTATAATAGAAGTCATTGGAAACACGGTCAGTGTCTGCAAAACTTCTCACAACAATTGAGATGAAACTCACATACAAATTGGGATGAAGCTCACATATGTCTAAAAACCTGTAAAAACACACGTCTGTGTGAATTTTCATGGCAGACGAACAACCACAGGCAAAGTGATTATGATAAATTTACCTTCAAGTACACATACTGTATTTCCCTAAGACACAAGGGTTAAAGGTCCTATATTATGCAAAATTAATTGCTCCTGACGGAAATTCAGAGTTGGCGATGAAGGCCTGTTGTCAGTTTTCAGTTCCTGTATGTATAATATGTGTGATTTAAAGACTTCTTTTTAATTTCAGGTGGCTTCCTGAGTCTGCTAGATGGCTGATGGCCAGGGGCAGGGCTGATGAGGCACATTATTATATAAAAAAATGTGCTGAGATGAACAACAGAGCTAAATGTTTGTCAACAATTACACCAAAGGTAGCATCTGTTCATTTCCAGTTGAACATTTATAAATGACTGACTTTTTAAAATATTTTGCAGACATTGTTAGAAGTTGCAGAAACTGAAACAAGAGACAAGAAGTATACTATCATAAACCTTTTTAAAACCCCACGCATTAGAAAGCTAGCTATTTGTTCTGGAATAATGTGGTGAGTATTGATTGAGAGAGATATCAACACACTGAACGTCTTCAATATGACAAAACTTCTCATGTGTTTTTCACTGGTATATTTCTGACATGTAGAGCCAGTTTAAATTATTTTCCCAAATTATGTAACTGAAACTTACAGTAGTTAGCCCACAGCTCTTTTTCACCACTAACCTCTAAGAGAGTTGCTTAGTCATATTTTATACAATTATCTTTTCGCATTAAAGTTTTCAAATAAAGCTTTATGTGTACACTTTAGGCAGCAAGTTGGCCAAAACATATATATATATATATATATATATATATATATATATATATATATATATATATATATATATATATATATATATATATATTGTATTGTATTGTATTGTTCTGACCTGTTCTGAAGAGTCAAGGCTGATAGCCAATGTGCTGTGTGTAAAGTGTAAATATCGGTCCGATATATAGGTTAACCAAAATATCAGAGCCATCATTGTATTTTTAGATGTAGATATCACAATTAAGTTTTAGAATTGTCCTTTGAGTGTTTCCTGTATTTCCCAGGTTTGGAGTTGCTTTTACATACTATGGAATAAGCTTGAATATTACCGGGTTTGGATTGAATCCCTACCTCACACAGTTTATCTTTGCATCAATTGAGATGCCCATGAAGATTGGTGTCTATTTCTTCTTGGAGAAAATTGGTCGAAGACCTGGAGAGATATTAACGCTGATCATGACTGGGCTTTGTCTCTTTATTAATATATTTGTCACACAAGGTAGATTTTGTATCTGTAACAATACTACACCGGTTAGATATTCAAATTTGAACTCTTTTTTCAGATAAATGGCTTGTTCGCACTATTGTAGCAGTTCTTGGGAAAGCCATGTCTGAAGCTTCATTTACAATTGCATTTCTTTATACGGCTGAGCTCTATCCCACAGTGGTCAGGTGAGATCTTGGATCAGTTAAAGGATCTTAACATGTTTACACTGTACTCTTTATAATTCACAATGAATGACATGCACTTTCAGGCAGAATGGTCTAGGCTACACGTCCTTTGTGGCTCGACTGGGTGTGTCCATCTCACCTCTCATCGCCCTACTGGAAGACGTGTGGCATCTCCTCCCATCAGTTATATACTGCACTGTGGCAGTCACCTCAGGTCTTGTGACCCTCCTGCTGCCTGAAACATTAAACCGGAGACTCCCTGAGTTTATTGAAGACATTGAGAAACCAAAGTAAAAGACCTGAAATTTCCACAGTCAACCATTAACCACTCTTTCTTCAAACACAATGATAATAAGTCAACTTTTTCAGGAGGGAATCTAATGAAGAAATTCACTAAGGGCTGAAGAAGAGGGACAAAGCCCTGAGGAATCATGAAACCAGAGAAAAGTCAGAGCCATCCAATGGATATATTATAGAAAATATACACGAAAATAGTTGCGATGGAATACAGATTAAATAGTGTTAAGTAACACTCAAAGAACGGAGTATCTGGCATGTATGTTTTTTATGTGCATGTGGTTCCCAACTGAAACCATTAAGAAAAGCATAAAACTATCAAAAATCAGTTTGTCATTAGGGCTAACATAATATTTTCATATTTAACTATTTAACTAACAGGATATTTTCATATTGATTAATCAGCTAACTTATCAACTATTTTTTTTCATTTGATTGTTTAATTAATTAGACTGATAAAAAGTATATTTTGTCTCATAGGAACATAGCTGATTGTGTTACTGTTATGTAAGACAGCTCATGGTTCAAGACAAAGACATAAAATGCTGCTTAAAGTTATAATATAAATGGGTGTTTAATAATGAACAGCTGACAACATGCCTGTGGTGCCATATGGCTGTAAAGTCCACAGTGAGCCCGTACAGTCTGCAGCGCCATACTTTGTACAGTCCTTGCAGTGGCATACGCCCGTACAGTCCGCAGTGAGCCTGTATTTCACCTCTGTCCAGTTTTGACAAGTTTAGCTGATGATTTATTAAGTGTTTGAAATGTGTTACCTTCCTATTACTTTTTCACCACACACATTTGTCAACACTTGACAATACCGTGCTTTACTCTGCTCACTGTGTCATTTAAACATGAAGTTTGACAACATCATCGCTGAGGTGAACGGCTTTGGAAGATTTCAGATCAGAACCCTCATTTTGCTTGTGATTGGTCGAATTACTTTGCCTTTTCACTTTATTTTAAATAATTTCATTGCGGCTCTCCCAGGACACCACTGTGATATCAGCGGTTTGGACGACAGTGATGAATTCACAAATTTATCTTTGGCTCAGAAAATCAAGATTGCTATCCCTGTGCGTGAAGATGGAGAACCAAACTCATGTGAAATGTTTGCAGAGCTGCAGTATCGTTTTTTGTTTAACTCTACAAATGTAAGTAGTTCAGTCACTGTGCCATGCCAACATGGATGGGTGTATGACAGGACCACCTTCCAGTCTACACTGGCCACTGAGGTAACCGTATTAATTCTCTGAGACATAACTTTAAATATATACACTTATATTGATTTCATTGTATGCTATAGTGGGATCTTTGTTTGTGATAACGTCAGACTAAACAAAGCCATTGTTACAATCTTCTTCACTGGAGTGATGCTTGGGTCAGCAGTGTTTGGTTATTTCAGTGACAGGTATCAGGATTCACATCTTTTCCATGTTTATTAACATGTTGTTCATGCAATGAAAATAATTTTATATAATATTTTAGATTTGGCAGGAAGAAAACACTTCTGTCATCATACATTGTTGCCACCATATTTGGATTTGCAAGTGCGTACTCCAGCAATTTTGTTATGTTTTCCATAATGAGATTCTTGACCGGATGTGGGCTAGCAGGAATCAGCATTATCACTGTGGTGATTTGTGAGTGTCAACTTTTTTCTTTTTTTTGTAAAATTTTTTTCTGGAGTTCAAAATGATAAGAGTGTTATATCATATTTTCAGGTCTTGAATGGGTGGACATCAAACACCGACCGCTTGTGGCCGTGCTTTTGAGCTTGGACTGGAGTCTGGGAATGATTTTTATTACCTATTATTGCATACTTTGTGAATGACTGGAGGAATCTTGTTGCAGCGACTACAAGCCCACTGCTTATGGCAATAATCTGTTTGTGGTAAGGCTCAAAAAGTCAACATACAATTAGATCTTAGAGCTAGATCACATTTTAGATTTGATAATGATTCATATACACTGTATTTTCTATTGTAAAACAAAGATAAACACAGTAATCTGTTACTTCTCAAAGTTTACACTACACTGTGATTGATTAAATCCAATTGCAACTCAATCTGACACTAACCAGTTGGAAAAAGCCTTTGTTTTAGAGCAGTTGCATTGAACAGAGAAATAGTGAATCTCAATATGATGATGTGACCAAAATACTGTCACAGGAATTAATTATGAGCTGAGTTTTGGAGCAATGTGCTGACTAGAAAAGTCAAGATACAACTCTATGAAAATGTGTGTTATTGCAATGACATTAAAAGTGAAAAATATTCCAGGTGGGTCCCAGAATCTGCACGATGGCTGATCAGCACTGGGAAGGTGAAAAGGGCTCATTACTATCTGAGCATGTGCGCCAAAGTGAACCACAGAGAGAAGTTTATGTCCGACCTAAAGCCAGAGGTAACACTCGTCATTATCTGTGATCTGTGGACAAAGATCATCCACATACATTATTTTTCATTTCAAGGTTCTGAGCAAAGTAATTATTGTTGAAGATGAAAACAGAAAATACTCCTATGTGGACCTTGTTAGGACACCCACATTGAGAAGACTAGCTCTGTTCACTGGAATTGTGTGGTTTGTACATGCAACTAAGACATGAGTGAAATCTAGCTATGCAGTATTCTAAAATTCAGTTTTTGTTCCTAGGTTTGGAGTTGCTTGTAGTTACTATGGGATCAGTCTAAACATAGAAGGTTTCGGTGTGAACCTTCATATGACACAGTTCATCTACAGTGCCATAGAAATTCCAGCTAAACTGATGGTCTTTTTCACTGTGAACAGATTCGGTCGAAGGTTCTGTCAATCAGGAACGCTCATTATGACAGGACTGTGTATTTTCATCAACATGTTTATACCCAAAGGTAAAATAAAAAACAATTCTTACAAAATATTTAAACACTAAATGTAACAAGTGTGGTTTCATTGCAGAAAAGGGGGTGATTCGAACTGCTCTGGGGGCACTGGGAAAGATGTTCTCAGAAGGAGCTTTCACATGTTTGTTTTTGTTGACAGCAGAACTTTACCCCACTGTTCTCAGGTCAGTGGCATTTTCCATGTCTATTTCTACTAAAAAGTTAAAAAGTTAAGTCTGCACAATGTAAGTAAAGCAAATAACAAGAATGTAACAAATCTCTAAATAGTATGAAGCATGAGTTACACAGCCCTACAAACATAGAATCTTGTGACAACTAAAAGGAGATATAAATAAACTAGTGCAGTCAAACAATGAATCACACTTTTGAAATATGATTAATCGTGATTAATCACATTGTTATTTAAATGTTGAAGCATTATTAAGTTACTAAGTTTAACAAAAACTCATCTTATTGTATTAATTATATATATTATATTTTATAATTTTAAAGACCAACAGGTTATAATTTAAATCTAGAAATTGCATTTCATACTGAACACATGTTCCAGGTAAATGTATAAGACCTAACCACAGGCTAAGGCCCTTCATTGCCGCTTGCGGGTGTAACTGGTTCTAGTGTGACACATTTAAGCAGTTACAGTTGGCCTGGCGTCTTCCAGTGTTATATAATACTTTGGTGAAATATTTTGCCCATTTTACGTATTTTAGCATTCATTTTAGCACGGTGTTTTTGGTTTGATTTGTATGGAGTAAGAAAGCTTTCAAAAACATTCGTATAGAATAGAAATCTGTGCATATTTGGGAAATCCGTGCATATTTGGCTGTAGTTGCGCATAAAACAAATATTTGTAAACTCTCAAATGAGTCCAGTCGTACATAAAATATATTGTGTGTATTTTATCCATCAGAATACGAAATGAAAAATTACGACGTCAAGAATTACAATTACAAAATGAAAATTTATGAATTCGCTTTCATCAGTACAAATACGGAATTCACAGACGGAATTTTACTGTCAAAAATACGTCATCACTTCACAGACATTATTTATCGAGCAGAAGAAACATTGATCAAGATCAAGACTGCGCATGCTTAAGTTTGTAGCAGAGGGTAAAAACAGAGTAATAGCACAAGAAGCTACAACAGCGACCAACAAGTGGGTTAATTAAAATTTATTGTAAAAATGTCTTGAATTCGGGAACCGAACGCTGCTGTGTAATATTGTGTAGAAATACCTCCTTTGAATGGGAAATTGCACCTATATGTTAGATAACTTGGTGGTAGCCAGTGGGCGAACATCAGATGTAACGTTATTCCAGGGCTATTTAGCAAATATCGGCGTTCTCTGTATGTTTAGATTAAAACATTCACGGCTACAGCCACAGTGAGCATCAGTCAGTCTTAACCTTCATTTCAGCTGCATTTCTCGCATGAAATGCGACTAAAAGTTCCTCGGGATGCAGAAATGTCCCAGTTTACACCAAACACGACCAAACTGACTAAACTAATATTTTTGAAAGCTTTCTTACTCCATAGATGTCACAGTTCTGTCTTTTTGTTTACTGTTTTCCCCAGTCCAGTTCCATTTCTGAGTCTGTTCCGGTCCTCCTTTTGCCACCTCCCTCCTTTCCCTACAGCTGCCCCTCATTCTGTAATCAGCCCAGGCCCAGTCTATATATACTCCCTCTGCTCCCTCAGTCTTTGCCTGATTGTAGACCTGTAAAGACGTACTCTCAAGCTCCTGAAAACCAGAACCTCAGTTTCTGAAACCCCTGTATTACCCCTGAATCTGATCTGTTTGCAGCTTCTGCAATTCTGTGTTTTTCCCTGTTTGTTATCCCTGTTCCTGAGTTTTCTCCCAGTTCATTTCTTACTAGTGTATTTCCCAGTCTTGGAGGATATTTCTGTTCACATTTTATATCATACATTCCTCTGTTATATTTTCAGTCTGAGTTATCGTTATACATTACCTGTTAGAGGACACGTTCCGTTATTCACTAAGAGTTTGTTGCCTGTATACTTGTGTTGCATTTGAGTCCAATTTACCTGCGTGATAATAGATTTGCCACGCAAAGGAGAGCTGCACTGTACGTACTGCGTCCCTGCGCTC